CATATTATAATGCATTTTGCGAATCATTAATTTACTTACAAAAGAGAATGCACACATTTGCTTTAAGTTATGCTTTTATGTTTTTAAAGTAAAAGCTCTGGAAATGGAGGGATCCAATGAAAAGTAAGGCTCGTAGAATGTGGATCCCTCAAATAATGATAATCATAAACTTACGTAATAAATACATATAAATTTGATGATAAAAAGAATATTTATAACAATATGCATATCGTAAATTAGGGTGAACATGTAAATGCCAACAGAGAATCACAGCGAAGAATTACCTGACTAGACAGGACACAAAAGCATAAACATAAATATACAAGAAAATTGTCCTAGTATGAGCGCTCTCATTATTAGCACAAAATGTGTTGTTTCAAAGAGATTTTATTTCAGGTCAATTCGTTTATGGGATTGAATGATGAAACATTGGAAAGGTACCTATTTTCAAAAATACAAAAACAAAAAGGGCATAAAAAGGAATTACAAGGTTCCTATATGGAATATTTAGTAGTTTTGTATACCATTTAGGGTTTTAATTGCTTTCATTTAAAAAAGAAAAAACCTCAAGCTCTTAATTTGAAGACGCGTTACTATTTTGTTGTCTCTAATTGTGATTCAGTCATACAATTTGACAGAAAAATGGACCACAAAATGACCCCCCCCCCCGGGTTCACCCGCTAAAGGATTAATATGGCTAGACCAATGATGTGGGATGTGGCTGTGATTTTGAGGAACTTGAACCCTATAAGCTATGCTTTTTATTCAGTTCCTTTTTCACATGTAATTTCGAAATTATCTAGTGTAAATGCAATATAAACTTATGCCGTGTAGATGTCTTTATCGTTCATGAATCTATTCTTTCCATATGATATAATTATGGTTTGTTAAAGGGATGTCCCATTTGCAGCCAACATCAAGTTATGTAGAACTTCGCAGGAACTATGAACATGTCACGTATGTTCTATCTGTGAAATGTAAACGTTAGCAGTGTCCTTTTATTAAAACCCGTTTACTTTCTAGACTTCACCGTCAGACACTATTGAGTGAATGCGTGACTTTTTTCGCACAGCACAAAATGGACCATTCGGTACAAGGGTCTGAAAATCAGACTTTTACTTAAGTGATTGCGATCAAGTAAGTCGAATTGACAACTATAAATGGTCGTTATTTTCCCACTTAAAGACATTTTCAAGCCCTTTCGTTTTGCGGGAAGTTCTAAATTAGTATTATCTTTCGAATGCCGTTGGAATTTTACAATTTTGTTTGGCCTGCAAATGGGACATAGTACCTTTGAATTTGATGTATTATTTTTAATGTGACATAAAAGGAACTAAACTGAAGCTGAACTTGAACTGATGAACTCTATGCAACCATACAATCTAAGACATTTTGTTTAAATCAAAGTCTAGACCAGGCTACAATTTTGATACGTCCGATCCAGTTTATTGTGACGTCACAATGCTACAAAATATAGTCAATATTTAATGCTTACAATGTATTAGGTGACGAAAAGTATGGTAGCAGAGATTTGCCCATATTTGGTCATGCGACCTTGAATGTTGGCGGAAATAAGACCCGAAAATAGGATTTTAGTTCGGAAGCGGATAGTGTTTATATTACACCTTTTGGTATGGCGTAGCGTGTGGGACCACCAGTATTGAGGGGGCACTGTTGCATTTAGTTTGTGGGGGGGGGGGGGGGGTGCGGGACATGGACAGAAAACACGACTTGAAAATAGGACGTTAGTCGGAAACGGATAGTATTGATCAGTAACCTTTAGCAGTCACGTATCTTGGGTGTTATACGGGGGGGGGGGGGCGGTGGGGCGGACGGGAGAAGGGATTCGAAAAATGGACTTTAGTCGGAAGCGGAAAGTGTCTATCCTGCACTTTTTTTTGGAGTTGTGAAGCTTCAGTCAAGTCAGTGGCAGTATTAGCCTCTTGTCGATGGCCCTCGCGTTGTTGGAGTCCGTAAATTAGGCCTAAAAAAAAAAATTGATGACTTGGCGTAACGGGTCACTGAAAATTAGGGTAGGTAGGGCGATTTTTTTTTTTTTTTTTTTTTTTTTTTGGTTGTTGTTGTTGCTTATATTTGCATACATGAAATTAGCCATTCATACACATATACATACATACAGTGGCGTAGATAGGTCCTCAGACCTTGGGGATGATCTGATCAGGGATATCTGATGAGAGGGGTAGACCACAATATGTTCAAATAACTCCACGCACACACACACACATATATGGACACACACACTGTGTGAGCAAAGTGAGCAAGAAATTGTTGAAATCTTGATCACCTTGGGACCTGGGGGATGCATACATACACCTGCCCCCCCCCCCCCTGCATACATACATGTACATGTACATACACCCTCATGCACATAAAATGCAAACATACGAACGCATTAATAGATTTCGAACAGACCCCAGCCTGAGATATCTCAGACACTGTCTTCAACAGGATAAACAGGTGAATAGACCCTATGTAGGTTTAGAAGGGGCTGTTCACAAATATTAGTATTTTCACAATGTATTGACTAGCATTTTTATAACTTGTCTAGAGGTAACATGTTAACATGTTAACATGTATCCAAAATCTTGAAGAATGAGGGTTGAAAAGAATAGCCAATTACAACTTGTGAAAATATTTACAATTGTGAATGGCTCTGTAATAACAAACAGTTAAAAAATGTCTCCAGTATTTCAGAATCCTTTATCAAAAAAAAAAAAAAAAAAAAAAAAAATTAAAAAAAAAAAAAAAATTAAAAAAAAAAAAAATTAAAAAAAAAAAAAAATTAAAAAAAAAAAAAAAAAAAAAAAAAAAAGCGTAGGGTCGGCGATAAAAATAGGGTCGGGCGGGTTACGCCAAGTCATCAATTTTTTTTTTTAGGCCTTATGGCGAGCGAAGCGAGCCAGAGAAACCGAGCGCAATCGCTGCGGTCTAGACATGCATAATTCAGTAGGAAATCGGTCTCATGAATATATAATTCAGATCACTTGTCAAGAGGCCCTCGCTCGCGCTCGGTCTCTCTGTCTCGCTTCGCTCGCCAGAATTCACGGACTCCAACAACGCGAGGGCCATCGACAAGAGGCTATGACAGTATCGGATGGGGGGGGGGGGGGGGTGCCGCCGGCAGTTTTATGGATGAAATGCGAGAGACCAAGATGTAGAACGATCGAGAAGAAGGTGGTTTGGGATTGAGGGGTCCGTATCATCTTGTTTTTTGCGTCGCCTTACGGTCTTTAACTCTCTCTCTCTTTATTTATTTATATTATATTTCTCTCTCTTTCTCTCGATTCTCCCTCAGTTTCTCGCTCTCACTTTCTCTCTCTTTATCACTCCCCCTCTCTTTCTTCCTACCGCTCCCCCTTCATCATTCGATGGAATGGGGAGGGTGCCCTCGCTGCTACACCACGTGCATTCCGAATCATTCTCTCCATTCTATGCGACACTCTTTGATCAATTTGGGGGAATGATGTATAGTCTCGACTCTCGAAGATAAAACAGCCCGCCCCCGTAGTTTTTTTTTTCTTCATCTTCCCGGTGCGGCGTTTGAATATTAGAATAGAGAAAATAGTGGGGCACACGTTGAACCAACATGAACACAAAATGGGATTCCCAGTTTAAGTGCTACATTGACCTACCTTTTTAGCGATATCAAAATAATTACAAAGTCAATAACGGCAGCAATAATAAACATATTCTTCAAACACATCGGTTTTCTTCAGGAATGCATGTGGTACATACGTAATTCAGCCCACATGAAATATTTGATTCATAAATTCACGATTTCATTTTCGTTTTTATTTCAAATAAACTTAAACGGACTATTTAACATTATGAAAAGATAATGAAAAATCAGCCTAGCAAGATGATTGTAGACAGACTTTTGTTTTTGTGACAATGTAAATAAAGTTCATGTGAAACTATGTCTCTACACTGTGAAAAGATTCGGCAATATTTTTCCCACACTTTGCCCAACGTTGTGCAAATAGTCAACCCAGCCATTTATTGGGCAATATTTTGCCCAGTGGTATTGGTAAACGTCAGTACCCAACTCCACACGTGCATAGTTGTCTTGTATTATGCCCAACATAGCTAGTCAAGATTGTCCCAACAAGTGGGTTACCGTCGTCGTGCAGTTGAAGAGTCATATCTTTGCTCAAAATGTAGTCAAATATTGCCCATGCAACAAAAGAATTACCAACGTAACTTTACTCATTTTTTTCACAGTGTATAGTTATGATAATATACCCAATAAGGTTATTCATACAGCAGTTTAAAGATATTTCTTAGTACTCAACATGAAATGTAACAAGAGGAAGCAAAACCCTCACTATAAAAGTCGATCATTTTCCTCAAAATTGATAGCTATGATAATATACCTAATAAGGTTATTCATACAGCAGATTAAAGAGATTTCTTACTACTCAACATGAAAACGAATAATCGGAAGCAAAAACCCACTTTAAATGTCGATCATATCCCCCAAAATGTTCACACACATTATTTGTATTGTGCAAGAATAACGAAATTTAATGAACATCCACGACATCTACAGCCAAGTCAGATATAAATTTGAACCTTAAGGGTGGGCATTCTGGATCTATATCAGTCCGAAAATTCGGTGATCTTTGACAAGACAAAAAGAAGAAGTAGAAGAAGGAGGAGGAGGAGGAGGAGGAGGAGGAGAAGAAGAAGAAAAAATAAGATTAAGAAAACGAAGAAGGAGAAGAAGGAAGGAAGAAGAAGAAGAAAGAAATAATGAAAGAAATAGAAGATCATCAGCTCATAGTTCCTCATCTTCTTTTCCTTCTCTTTCCTGCCCCGCCGGGATCCGCCACTAAAGACTACTAGACATACCTGCGCTAACTCCCAGAAAAGAAACTTCTACGCTGTTTAGTCGGAAACAGCCGAGCGGAACTGTTTCGGGGACTCACCACGGTAACCGGACCCGAGGACGCATAAAAGCCAGGAATTTGTCGAAAGGGACTCAAAATTGTTACCGTCCATTGTGAAGCAAAGACAAGCTCTGACGTTTGGAGGCAATCTTTTAACAAAAGCTGGTGGACAAAAAGAAAGACAAAAAACCGCTTTGTAACACTTGGATGCTTATCTACGAAAGGTGCTTGATTTATCTATTCTAATAGCGCATCGGTCCCTGAAAGATTTTCTTGTAATACCTGCTTAGTAGTGAAAGTGAGAGTCAGAGGTTTAGATACACTCGGCTGCCAGATCACTTTTGGATTCGCTTCAGAACAGATCGCTATTCCCATCGCGTTCAAGCAAGGAATAATTTTTACTTTATATTATCAGCAACTGTGAAAATAAACCATCACCATGTTCGCTAGGTTAGCACAGCGCGCATTCTCCGTTTCGGCCAGGAGTTCGGCAAACCTTCTCGGAGTCGCGTCATCGGAGGCGACGTCGATGACCACCACGGGCCGCATCGGCAGGTGTTTGAGGAAATCGCTGTTGAGGAATTTCCCAGAAGACGATCTGCTTAGCTGCTTCGACAACATGAGTATACAGAAGAGATATTTGGGAACGTCTGCGATGAAGACAACACCGGTTGTTCCTCAGCTTCAAGTCTCAGCAGGTGAAAAATTTAAACGAATTGGGAAAATAGTAGTAATGGTAAAATCATAAATTTTAGCTAGGGTACCTTCTTATGGGATAGAGGTCTATCTCCACAAGGGATAATATCCTACTTTTACGAAGATACTTCAAGAAATATAATATATACAGTGTGTATTATAGACTCCAATCATCGTGTTTTGTTCTGTTCAAAATAGGCCTATATAATGTACAATATGGGGCATCTTGAAACGTTGATTAACAACAATGGAGGGGGAAAATTATTACATCTTCTTTAAATGTGTTGTGATGAGGTAATGTACCATGCTTGAATCTCTTGATGTTTATTAACCCCATATAAAATACATGATACTGTAAATTATTATGATAACATAGCCTTTATAATAAACTTCACCTTCTGCCTGCATTTACTAGGCAACTAAACATTTACGGTCACAAATTAACCGTGAAGTAAAATTAACTAACTTTAAGAAAAACAAAAATGACGAAAGGAATTTGACCAACCATTTCATTTTCTCATTTCATGAACAGACGACTATGAAGTTGACCCCGAACTCGTTACAAGGTACGTTGTCCGGCCGTCGGAGATCGACGACTGCGGCGACATCCTGAAGCTGGTACGAGGGCTCGCGGAGTGGGAGGGGACCATTGACCAGGTCGAAATCACCGAGGAAGGTAGATACAATCGCTTTAAAAAAAATTACTTAAAAAAATAATTAAAAAAAAAAAAAAAAAAAAAAAAAAAAAAAAAAAAAATCATTTTTGTTCCCGGAACCATCCGATAACAAGTTGTAAATTATCTTCAATATCACTCTTTGCTGTTGATTGTTTTGACATTTTATGATTGTATCCCTACTTTTGTTTTCTTTCTGTCTTTATTTAAATACAAGACATGCCCCTAGATCTTTCTCTATGCGAATCTATATATCTGATTTCAAACAGCGATAGTCTTTATGGATCAATAGCATTGACAAGTTTAAAGTATGGTGTGTTTTCTCGCATTTATATATATTGGTTTATGACAGATACCTCACAAGTGTTCTCTCTCTGGAGAATAGGCATATAATCCTCTTACTTAAATGATCCTCTTTGTAGATCTGAAAAAAGACGGCTTCGGATCGAACCCTTGCTACCAGTGTGTCTTGCTCGAGGCTTTTGAAGATGATGGTGACCACAGTGTCATAGGCTATGCCATGTTTAGTGGGGGCTACTGCGCATGGAAGGGGCGCACCATCACGTGGGAAGACCTTTTCATTCATCATGATTATAGAGGTAAGTTATATCCCTAACCAACAAAACTAACACTTATATATCAAATCAAACAAATACCAGGAGAAGAAAACGAAAGAAGAAAATAAAATATCGTCATCCTCAGCAGCACGACTACCACCACCCCCATCACCAACACCATCACCACCACCACCACCACCACCACCAACAACAACAACTAATTGATAATAAAAATAAACAAGGTAATGCATGTAATTTAATGAATAATAAACTCTCTTAAAAAATATACTTGAAAATCTGATTGAACAGAATACATCTTGAGGGAAAAGGAAAAAAATTCACATTAGTTTATCAAAACCCAACTATATAGCAAACGAAAGACAAAAATCATATCGGGAAGATGGAAACATGGGGCAACGAAATTGCTTTTGAATCTATGAGCTTTTATTGACAACTTTCCTTTGATCTTCCGAGTCAATGTAGGTTTTATATCAATCCTGTCAATAGATTTAAATTTATCTTTGGGCCAAGACTTCTACAAATGTTAATTTTAGTTTTATTCTAATTCTCAAGATTGTTATCGGCCTATTGTTTCGGTCGCATATCACTAATATTCTCATTTTATTTTTTGTCTTTGCAGCAAAAGGACTTGGGGCTGTACTACTCCATGAAGTATGTAAGGTGAGTTTCATGATGTTTTGGTCTTGCAAATATAATTGGAGAAGAAAAAATCATGGTAGATCTATAGAGCACCAGTACTGATCAGTTCTTACATTTTTGTTTGAGGTTGTATACAAACTACTATATTCATCCAAAGGATAAAAGGATAAAAGAAAACTTGTTTATCCTGTTTTGTAAGTTAAGATCATTTTCAAATGAATTGTACCGATTCAAATTCAAATCACACTTAAGAAACTAAATGTTTTCATTTCCACAATAACAGAGAACTAATGTGTGACAATAATTGAAGTCATTAAACAAAAATCATCATCTATCACCTTATCTTCTCAAGAAGCCATCATGATAATCCTGTATGATCTCTCTTTCAATTTCTAGATGGGTTACCTGGACGGCTGCAAGTACATCAGCGGCTACGTCGATATCGAGAATGATCGGGCAAAGCAGTGGTACGAAGACATCGGATTCGAAAACCAGACTCAGAAACATGGCTACAACATCATGTCCATGGCCGGCAACTCGCTGCAACATTACGTCACCGACCACAAACCCATCGAGAAGCTTGGAAGGAGAGGCGTGCATGTTTCGTCGCTTGTTACAAATTGAGTTTATAAGTTCTTATGTATTACTGATTTTAAAGACAACATTGAGTTTGTTTTTCAATGTGCAATATTACAAGTATTATGTTTTCAACTGTATATATATTATATCAATGAAGTAGTTAACGTGTCATGTGGTCTCGGTTGTTTCTGATTTAGTTTGAAAGAAGAGCACGCATTATACAGGTGATGAGAAATATTCCTGTATAACTTTATTTGTTAGCATATTGTATTCTGATATCAATAACACTTCTTTGCCAACACGTAATGCTGATAGTAATACCGCGTCGAGTATTATTTCAAAACAAAATATGTATATATTTTTTTTGGGGGGGGGGGGGGGAGAAGAAGCAGAAGAAGAAGAAGAAGAAGAAGAAGAAGAAGAAGAAGAAGACGAAGAAGACGCAGAAGAAGAAGAAATATTACAACGATACAGACCTACGGCTGGATATCACATCTCCATATTTACTACTAGATTTTTTAGTTCAATGCAGTTTCTATACAAATCTTGCAATCCTATGTCAACAGCGAGAAAGAACAAAACTGCGAAATATGAAATTCTTCGAACTAAGTTGATATAGAAATGGACAAAGGTCAAGGGAAAGGTCATTTCATAGTGCGAGTGGCGAACTGTTTAAACATTCCAATCATATGACGTCACAATGCCAAAGACCTTGCTCAGATGCTGTTTTCTCTGCACGGCTCGAGCCTAAAGAGAATGTATTCTGTAAGAAAACAAAACCTTGAAAAAATATTTATGCAAGCACGATATGATATTTGTGTATTTATTTATTTAAAGTATTTAAAATGTATGTACTACTTTCTTATCATATGTACATTTTGACTTCGCCTCATATTTTGTAATGAATAAATCTCCCTTTTTATGAACAATAATACATAATCAAGAGTCTAAGTATTCTAATATGAAAAATACTTCACAGGTGAGTTACTTGTTATTACTCATGGAATCAACATTATATGGAGTGGAGAGACAGAAAGAGACAGAGAGAAGAAAGACAAAGATACAGAGAAAGAGAGATAGAACGACAGAGAGACAGAGAGACAGAGAGATAGAAAGACAGAGAGATAGAAAGACAGAGAGACAGAGAGACAGAGAGACAGAGAGACAGAGAGAGAGAGAGAGTGTGTGTGTGTGTGAGAGAGAGAGAGAGAGAGATCGAAAAAGCCTAGATAGATAACAGAGAGCGTGTGGGAGGGAGGTGTATATATTAGCGAGAGATATTGTTTTTTATAAGGCAGATACCTTTTCCAGGTAAGAGGAAAAGACGAAATTGATGTAAAAGAGGAAAGGAATACATGAAATATGAGAGGAATTAGGGATCGGGGTTGAGACGGGGAGAGAGACGGCCGGGAGAGAGAGAGAGAGAAAGAGGAGAGAGAGAGAGAGAGAGAGAGAGAGAGAGAGAAGGGGTGGGGAGAGGTGTAAATTCCTGCATTTTTTCAATATTTTTTTCCAACTACCACACCATTTTTAAAATGGTAGGTCTGGAAAAATACTACACCCGGAAGATCGAATGCTGTCAATTAAATAAAACAGTATTCACGCACCGTGTACTCGTCTATGACAACGCAACCTATGACAAACGATGCTAAAAGCTGAACGCTACAAGGAATTCTTACTTTATTTGGAATGCACCAGAGTTATCTGTGGATTCGAGTTCAATAAACGCTTTGGATTCTACTAGGAAGGTGAGAACATGGTCGATTTCCGGAATCATAGACCCCTATATCTTCGTCATCACGAATACATGCCGCTGCGATTGTTTACATACAGGGAAAGTGCATGTTTGCGAAACGCCCACTTTAGCCTAGTTATCAGACTGAGGGGAAAATTTATTGTTGATCACACTTCGTGGCGTGTGCGTTCCGTCAGGTCTCAATTAGTAAAACAAATATCGGGGGGGGGGGGGGGGGAGGAGTGGGTTATATTATCAGAAAGATGTTTAAATCTGGTAACAGTGCGAATCTGAATTATTTACTGTATACTCTTTGTTGAAATAATTGTTAAACATTGTGTTTCATATTGTACTGTTAATGAGAAGGAAATAAATGTTAATAAATACAAAATACCAATATTACGTGGCAGTCCTCGATTGATATTGTTTCTAATACTTTTGTAACCATAATTAATCGTTGTGGGAAACAATATTTGCATTACCATTTCTGATATTCTTTCTTCATTCTCTTATTCTCCTCCTAGCCCCTCCTTCTCCTCACCTTCTCCTCTCCCTTTTCATCCCCTTCTCCTTCTCTGAGTCTTTTCCTATTTAATTTTCCTTTTCTTCTTCTTCTTTCTCTTCTTCCTATAGTATTCATTGTATTCTTCTTAATCATCATCTTCCTATTATTTTTTAATGTCATTATTTTCTCCAAGTGCACCTTAATATTCACCCGAAAATAAGTATTGTGTTTATTATTGTAGGCCTAGCTACCATTTATTTTTGTAAAATTCGTCAAACTTCCGTTAATTTTGTTAACTCACATAATTCTCTCATTTGCTGAATCGTACACTAAAAGCGGTTATTCACATTATTTTCTACCGTAGGTTTGATTCAACATTCATTAACATTTTATTGAAACGTAAAGAACTACATACACTTTCTGCAGGATACATCATTACAGAGACACCTTCGACACCGACATGGCTTCAGTCGACGAATATGCGCATGATAAGGAACCCATGGTCATTGATCACGGATCGTTTGAAATACAAGCGGGGTTCGCCGAAGAAGACTGTCCTCGGACCGTCTTCCAATCCATCGTCGGAAGACCCCGGCACCAAGGGGTGTTAGATGATCTGGTAAACAATTTATAAGATAAAAACGTGGATCCGAATCTAATGATTGGTTGAAAGCGTACACGTGACCAGGCAGTTATTTTTCCTCACGCGTAATTTGGATAATGACCGGTCATGATTCAATTCTAATGATCGGTCATTAGTAAAATCATGTTATAAAACATCATTTTATAAACCAAGTAATAAACAGCATTTTGTTCTGGCATTAGTAAAATTACTGTCACTAGGTATCTTCAAAACAGACCAAACACCCTCGGCTACCGCCTCTGGCGTGTTAGACTGTTCCAAAGGTACCTTGTGTGGAAATTCTTACTAATGCCCTAGCTGCTGTGTATTATTTGTATATTTAAACTGATTTGAATGAGGGGGCGGGGGAGGTAGGGTGCCTTGACCAAATAGGCAGACAGTATATGGCTTACATTTTCCAGTAAGCAAGCGATTTAAAAAAAATAGGACAAAAAGAAAGAGAGAAAAAGTTACTCATATCTCTAAAAGCTGAAATGTTAAATGTCAATTTAAAAGGGCCGAGGAGTGACCACTCTTTAAAAATGTCAGATTGTTTCTTTTAACCTGTTAGATTCAACCTTTATAGTGTTGGATCCAGCATGTTCAAAGTGTTAATCTACCATTTTGAAAGAGTGGTCACTCCTCGGCCTTTTAAATGGTGATTTAACATTTCAGTTTTTAGAGTGACTGATTTGCCGTCAGCCTGTAAGAAAATTCCCCAAGTAGTATGTTTCTCAATATTTTGTAATGATTATATGAAAATGGCTTTTGATTGTAAATCATTTTATTTCATTGTAAACTAATACTCTCAGCCTTCACTGCTGGTCATCATTTCAATAGTAATAATAGTGGGTTCTAATTGTATAGCGCTCGTGTCTATCATACGTGACACTCCTGGCGCTCCCGATTATTACCCTGGCTTTAGCACGGCTGCCATACGGCGCTATACGGCGCTCTAGCATTTCAAGGAATAAATTCCTGCCAGTAACCCATTTACATCACCCGGGTCGAGTGTGGCAAATGTAGATCAATGTCTTGCCAAAGGACATTAGTCCATATAAGATAAGTAAGTAAGTAAATAAATAAATAAATGAATATATTAATACATTAATAAGTAAATAAATGATTCTTTTCGCTTAGACTACTAAGCTCAACTTTCGGGATAGCTATGTCGGGGAGGAGGCACAGAACAGGCGGGGAGTGCTTACCCTTACCTACCCGATCGAACGAGGTATCATCACCAAATGGGATGATATGGAAGCCGTTTGGAGTCATACATTTTCTGAAATAAAGTTCAACCCACAGGACGAGGGGGCTGTGCTGTCACAAATACCCAACAATCCAAAGCCAAACAAGGAGAAAACGGCCGAGGTAAGTAGGAAAATACGGATCTAATTATAGAGTGTGGGTGATGGGAGCTGGGCAGGGACAGTTCGACTGGTCTTTAGAGTGAGTTGAGTTTGAATTTGAGTTTGAATTTGAAAGTTTATTATCCAAACAAAAATTACATCAATATAACAATCAAATGTGAATGGTTAACATCGAAAGGATAAATGGGACCAGAAAATATTCTACATCTAGGGTAAAAATGTTCTGTGATTAAATACAAAGCTTTGGTATTTTACACTAAATAAAAGATAAAGAATTATATAAAACATAATATTTACAAAAAGTCAAGAACCTTGGTTCAAAAGGAAGATTTCTAAAAACCGGATTTCAATGTCAAGCCTGTTAAGTATTATATAACTTCTTCCTCTTTTGTTTTTCGATTGAGGGGTCATGATTATTGCCATATAATCATTTCCGTTTTGTGTGAGTGTAATGTCACCACTGTGTGCTGTATAGAAACAGAAAACAACAAAGCCAATACCCCCCCCCCCCCCGACGACGTAGTGTAAATTAAAGACACTGGCGAAAGTGGCGCCACCCCCCCCCCCCTTCCCACCATCCCGGTCTACCCCTCAAATGCAAGAGTCCGTGTGGAAGATGTATTTGGGGTTACACCAAATTTATACAACTTTAATATATTTAGTATAAGCTACACTTCAAACTGAAATGATTAATAAGAACTTCAAAGTACGAGTGACAAGGTTTTAAAAATTGTAGATATAGCAACCATACATCATTTTGAAAACTCCGCCACTGCTCGGCCATTTTAACAGTAATTGTTTGAACACTTTCATTTTTAGAATGCTTAAGATGTATAGTGAAACTCAGGAAGCTAACTCGGTGAACATGCAACCCTTTTTGTCCAATTATGTAGATATTTTTTGAGAAGTTCCAAAGCCCTGGGATCTGTCTAGCGAATCAGGCTGCTCTTGCCCTCTTTTCTTTGGGTAAGACGTGCGGACTCATCGTGGATTCTGGACATGGCGTCACCCATGTAGTGCCGATCCATCCAGAGAAACCCCCTCCCTCCTACTACTCTTCAAATGGACCTTGCTGGCAGGGACTTGGACGAAGCTTTGTTCTCTCATCTTGTTGACGAACATAAATACAACGGTAATTCAGATTCGTATGTTCTTGATGGTTGTGTTTGCGTGATACAATCATAAACACAAAATATGAGGAAAAAGTTGAAGGTGCATGTCATGGAACATAGTGGTTCATTCAACTTGACTCTCAAGACAAGGGTTGAGGGTCCGAATCTAACGTCCCTTCACAAGAAATTAACAAAAGAAGAAAGTCTCAGGTCTAAGTTTTCATTTGTTAAACGTGATCTAAGACCCAAGGTTAGGTTTAACTGAATTAGTAGACAACGTGTATAGAATACAGACCGAAGCTTAGGCCCCCTCTTTATGTTGACACGATAGCTTTGTTTCTCCACAGGTAGACTAGCGGACCTCCGTGTCGTCAAGGAAAAGCTTTGTTACGTCGCGCTCGATCCTGACAACGAAAGCCAGGCCCGTACACCACCGATGTACTCTTCCGATCAGAACACCTACGAGCTCCCCAGTGGCGAGACGATCACCGTCGACCCCGCAGAGCGCTATAGAATCCCTGAAGCTCTCTTCAATCCAAGCATCATCAAGAAAGACTTCTTTGGTATTCACGAGATGGCCTACAACAGCATCAGTGGCCTTCAGACCGATGTCCGCGAGGACCTTCTTAGGTTGGGTCTACCTAGTAGGGGGTTCTACGCTGTTTCCGGGATTTAAGGAGAGAATGAAGCGGGAGCTGACTGCCTTAGCTCCTCCCTCCATGAAGGTCTCTATCGTTGCAACCCCTGACAGGAAATATTCCGTCTGGATCGGAGGTTCAATCTTTGCTTCAAGAAATCCTGACTATATTGAAAACGCATTGGATTAAGAAACAGGAGTATGAGGAGATCGGACCGATGTGGTCCATCGGAAGTACCTATAGGTTGTATCCGCGGATGCTACTCCGCGATCTTTGTTCTATATCTACAAACCCTTGCTATTTTCGCGGCAATATGAATTTGAATGTGTATGTGGAGTTCACCTAATAATTATGTTTCAAAACAACTTAGGCTTATTACGATGACACAATTCAGTCGGGGTCGGGTTTTCCGAGAATAGATTTATACTGACGTTACTGACTTTAAGCAAAGTACTTTGAAAATGCTTTGTTTGTCTACCATTTAATATATTTTTCATAATATATTGGAGACGTTTTATCGTGGAGAAGAAAACAATCTTCACAGAAAGTTTTTAGAATGTCTTATAATATGACGTTGTTTATATAGAGACTTGGCTTGCAAGTTTTATTCTCTTTACCTTTAAAGGTAACATGTCGTTGGCTCGAAGGTTCACGATTCTAATATACCCATGTATTGTTTTTTTTTTTAGGAATTATGAACCTATAAGTTTTTAGAAAAAAGAGTGCTATCCTTCTTTTTATATGTCTGTGTATGTATTGAAATACATAATGAATAAGTCAATAATGGTAAATGATCATAAGGTTTTATTTACATAGGGTAGCCACGTTAGTGCTAATACTGCTCTTCCCAAGGGCCCTGTAATTACCCCCCCCCACCCCCACCATTTATAAATATTATGAACCCATCTTGTACATCGGGTCAAGAGGGAGAAAATAATGTGGGCAGAATAGAATATTCAAGGATGTAAGCAACCGGCAAAGTTCGAACCGAGGACCTTTCATAATTATGAGAGTCAAAAGACATCACCAATATACCGTGGTGCCCGCCCCCCCCCCCCCCAATCATTGGGAGACTAGATAGATTTGCATTTAACATAAGTAAAACTAATTAATATACAAATGGATGATGTCTCATTATCATTTTGATAAATACTATTAATCCATACCTATACGAAAAGGAAATAAATAAATAATCTAAAACGTCAAACGGATGAACCCTTCCAAAACACGAAACCATTCCTTAAATTTCAATTTTGCTCTATTATCAATGTCATCATTCTGTGTATTCCTGTTTGATTGGAACGTATGCACGTGTACTTATTCGTGAAGTTTATTTCTTGTTAATAATTATCTTTTCTGTTTAAAAAATATTGTGGTTTTCAAAGCGTACGTCAATCAGGATAAGAAACTGATAGTCCTATTTCATGAAGAACATTAAAATCATATTTACATCTCTCTTTGATGTAGTACTATATCGGCCAAAATACCTTTAAACAAACAAATCACCAGTTCAATTTTACATTTCCGTGCGTGAACCCTTTCTCTCTCTCTCTCTCTCTATATATATATATATATATATATATAGGCTATATATATATATATATATATATATATATATATATATCTTTCTCTCTATGCCTCTCTATATCTACAAGCTATATTTACCACTCTCCATTCCTCTCTCTTTCTCTATCCACAAGCTATATTTACCACTCTCCATTCCCCTCACTCTCTTTTCTCTCTCTCTCTCTCTCTCTATCTCTCTCTCTCTATCTCTCTCTCTTTCTCTCTATATATATGTATCTCTCTCTCTATCTCTCTTTTTACAAGCTATATTTACCACATCCTTCACTCTCCATTCCTTTCTCTCTCTCTCTCTCTCTCTCTCTAGATATATATATATATATATATATATATATATATATGTATATATATATCTCTCTCTCTATCCACAAGCTATATTTCCCACTCTTCTCCCACTCGTCACCCCCTCTCTGTCTATCCCTCACCCCCACTCTCTCTATCCACAAGCTATATTTCCCACTCTCCTCCAACTCTTAATTCTTCTCAGTCCCGTCCACAGTTGCTGCCAGCTATATAGGGCCATATTTTTATATGTATGTCATAGTTGGTTTTAGCCTGTTCGAGGGCACATGCCCCTCTTCTGGAACTAGTTCTATACCAAATTTCCTTATTTTTTACTAAAAAGGACATGCAGCGACTGGAGGCGGTCGAAATGTGGTGCTGGCGAAAAATTACTAGGTGTGTCTTGGAGGGACAGAGTTTCGAATGAAGAGGTGTTACATCGAGCTCAAAAAAGGCGGGTGCTGATTCAAACGATTAGAGAGAGACAGAAGAAATGGCTTGGACACATAATGCGACATGCATGATGAGGGCTTGATGCTCAGAGTCATACAGGTCGTATTCATGGAAAGAAGAAGAGGAGAAGACCTCGTAAAGGCTTTCTAGACGATGTAATCACACAATGTGGAGCAACAGGGTATGAAACGATGAAACGGTTGGCTCGAGACCGAGGAACTTGGAGAGAAACTTGGAGAGACACTTGATATAGAATTTTGAATGGGTCACTGAACCTGTCATAAACTACTGACAGATCACTATTGATGATGATTCTGTTAAACATTACCACACTCGTGCACAAAATAATTTGTATCAAAATGTATTATACTGCATATACATAAATCTCCATATTATTTTAACTATTATTATTTATTTGGCATTTCAAACATACAATAGAAGGTACAATAGAATGGCACATAGGATACAAAGTATGAAAGAAAAAAAATTGACTTACCCTGCTGCACCTCTAACCCGTAAGTCTTTTTTTTTTCCGACTCCAGGAAATGCATCAGGGAATGCCTAAAATATCATACATAATCAGATTAAAAAAAAAAAAAAAAAAGACTAATTGATGACAATGATAAACTTAAGCTTGATAAATTGCAATATGTTATCTCAGGTGTCACTGGCATCTGTCTAAGTGAAGCAAAAAAGAAAAGTAAGTATATGTTGTATATATATATATATATATATATTAGATAGCTTAGACAGATACCGAGGTGTGATTGGTCCAGAGCTTGTCACGTGATATCATTTGTGAGGATCCAAATTGTTATATTTTCCTGGCCGGTCACTTTTCGGTGTTATATTAACCAGCTGGTGAAATGAATATATTTTTAATCAATGCATGTCGCCCTCTTGAGGACTGTATGTCACCAATTACACACATTACACCATTACCGAGGGTCATTTAATTTTTTCAATATTTTTTTTTCATGAATTTTTTTTTCCCTTGAAATTATTTTTTTCCACATTTTCTTTTTTTTCCCAAAAAATGCTTTTTTAGGTAATTTTTTTTTCCCGAAAAATGCTTTTTTGGGTAAGAATTTTTTTTCCCCAAAATTTGTTTGTAATTTTTTTTTTCTTTCTTGAACTATCTCGACAGATTATTTTTCCGTAATTTCCGAAAAAAAGGGGAAAAAAAAAATTTCGGGTAAATTTTTTTGGACCCCCCCCCCCCCACACAAAAAAAAGGGCTATCTAATATAACAGTTATTGACTGGCAGGGGGTATATAACATTCTTTGGACCTGAAGGGAGTTATATTTCCCCTCGTGACCATATTTTCCCTCAGCGCTGCGCGCTTCGGGAAAATATAACCACTTGGGAAATATAACTCCCTTCAGCGGTCCAAATAATGTTATATTACACCCCCTGTCAGTCAATAACTGTATAATATATAATTCGGGACTGTAGTATACATTAGTAGAAAATGATATTGAAAGACAGAGCTTAGCGAAGTGCTCAGCAGATATGTACAAATTTATAGTAAGATACATTCTCCTCGTCCAATTGGTAACTATGGTAACACGAACCAAATTGCTAACTTTAATTCTGGACCTAACACTACACCTAAACCTAATCTCAACTCTGACCAAAAGTGAGAATCGAAATCACAACCGAAGCCCTGGTCCAGATTTCGTTCGTTTTATCTTCTTTTTTTTACAACTGAGTTCTTTCATCATTTTCCCCTTACGTCCCACAAACAGCGTGTTACGCAAAGTCCTTTCGCACCGGGCCATGCGTAGAGTTGCTACCGACTACGTACGCTGCCCTACGCAGGCCTACGTAACTATACGCTGAGGGACGCAAGGGGTACGCATGATGGGCGCAAAAAATAAACGTGTTTAATTTTGTTGGCGTACTTTCGGCGTAGACACGAGACGCAGAAAGTACGCATGTTTGTACGCAAGTCTACGCAACAGTACGCTACCCTACGCCAGTCCGACGAAGCAGTAAAAGCTGGCGCACACAGTAAGCAACCGTACGCAACGTACGCAAACCTGTACGCCAGGCGTAAACTTACGCAACACTACGCGTGTAATACGTGATAGTACGCGTAGGAACGCCAATTGTATACGCCGTAGGTACGCGTTGCCTATGCACAGGGTACATAAACATACGCCATCATTCGCGAGCCTACGCATAACCTACGCAGGGACTACGCCGAAGCAACATTTTTTTCATGAATACGAAGCCGAATTTTGGCGTAATCAGTACGCCACACTACGCAACTCTACGCACAACCGGTGTGAAAGGGGTTTAAGAATGAAAGGACTGTCTCCGTTTTACCGTTGAGTGTGTGTTATTTTCTCAGCTACTTAGGCGTGCGACACAGAAAAAGCCCAGGCAGAGGACTACCTGGTTCTAGGACAATCACCCCCAGCCAATTACCAGCAGGACAATTCCCCCCTAGGACAATTACCTCCCCCTTCCCTGAAATTTACCGTGTACCAAACACTGCACATTGCCCTCACCCTAACACTGACCCTAACAATAACACTAACACCAATCCCAACAATTACCCTAACCCTTACCCTAACACTAACCTTAACACCAATCCTAACACTTATCTCTCAACCTAACACTTACCCTAACACTAACCATAACACAAACCCTAACACTAACCATAATACTAACCCTAACATTTACCATAAACACCGGAGTGTTGGCTCAGTCAGTAGAGCGTCCGCCTCACAACCGGGAGGTCGTGGGTTCGAACCCGGCCGCGTCATACCAAAAGACGTTAAAAGATGGGAGTTGTTGCTACCTTGTTTGGCGTTCAACAATAAGGGATAGAGCAACGTCGATCTGGCGCTGCTCAGTGGCTGCCGGGCTCACGATCAATTGGGCAAAAAGATTTTCCGTTTCGGTTTAATAAAATTTGGAGTGGACTATTAGGCTATTATTATTATTAAATACTAACCCTGACACTAACCCTGACACTAACCCTAACACTTACCCCTTACCTTAGGAATAATCTCAAACCGAATTGCAATGTTGGCTCTAACTTTACATACCGCAAGACCAAAATATGTCGGATCACCTGACATTTTATGCAATTGCATTTTATCAGCTTGTAAACACTTCTGCTAGTTCGTACATTTTTTATGTACAACACTTGGTCCATGTTCGTCATACTCCTTCTTCGTAATCCAACTCTCCTTGAAATTTGAAAGTGAGGCAAGGATGGACCCACCGATCCACACCGTATACTTCCTTTCTGGTGGAGCATTGACCCTGACCTTTGCCTTTTGAGGAAACATGGCGGACAGTTCTTTTTGGAGTCTTTCTTGGAATCCGGGGAACATCGTGGATCCCCCGACAAGAAAGACATTGCAGTAAAGATGCACTCGGAGATCGATGTCGCATTTCATGATGGCGTCGTAGACGAGTTTGTGAACGCTGGCGTGATCCCGATCAGCCAGAGAGGGTTGGAAGAGGATTTCGGGGACGCGGAAGATCTCGTTGCCAAGAGTGATATCGTGCAGATCCGGGAGTGTATAGGTTTTGGTCAATGCAGATGAGCCGAGCATCTCTTTCTCAAAGTCCTGAGCGATGTAGCAAACTTTTTCTTTAATCTCCCGAACAACTTCTCTCTCGGCTGTACATGTGGAATATCATAAGGAAAAACATGTATTACAAATTTGAAAACACATAAATGAAATGATGAATAAATTAATGCCCCTCTCTTTTCAAATCTATGAAGTGAAATGAAAATCAGCTAAACAACTTCTTATAATACACTGTATATTCAATAGTCTGATTAACTTAAATAACATTGGTAGCATCACCAAGTCTGTCAGGAGTTTCGGACAATTTTCAGAAAATAAAACCTCAGTAACACTAATTAAAGAGGGAGCCAGTACGGTAATAACGATGACAAAGATATCAGTAACATTATAAACAATGATGACGACTACGATGATGACGACAATAATGATGCCAAAAATCATGACAGTGATGATGATGATGATAACGATGATGATATCATGACGATGATGATAATGATGGTGATGATGGTGATGATGATAATGATGTTGATGATGGTCATGGTGATGATGATGACGATGGTAATGATGATGATGATTATGATGACGATGATACCGATGGTAATGATGATAATGATGGTGGTGATGATCACGAAAAACTACAATAATGATTACGAAATCGGCAATGATAAATCATAGAAATAATATTAATAATGATGAAAGAGGGGAAGGAGGATAATGGTGGTGACGACGACCATGATTATGATGGTGATGATAGGCTTCATGATAATGATAAAGATGATGGTGATGCTGTCAATGGTGATTATTATGATAATGATGATGATGAATATTAATCAGTCATTCACTCTGTTTGATGTTGAACCATCAATGGAAGACACCCCTTACCAGTTGTAACAAACGAATACCCCCGATCATTCAGCATCTTCATCATGTGTTGGGTGAGATCCCGGCCACCGAAGTTGACTTGGTGAACGGCGGGGGTGATAATGTAGCCCTCGAATACCGGTACCACACTGATGACCCCGTCGCCGATGTCCAGCATGACGGACATGGTGCGTCCTGCCGCACAGTGGGACAAGACGCCCTGTGTGCAGACATGGAAACCTTTGGCGCCAAATTTCTCGAACATAATCTGGTGACAGCATTATAAAAGAGATCTTAAATAAAAATCGGTTTAAGACAGGTGCATAGCCAGGGGGCGGTGGGGGCGATCGCCCCCCCCAAAAAAAAAACGCCGCCCCCCAAAAAAAATAGAGAGAAAAAAAAGAAGAGAGGAAGAGGAAGTAGGAAGAAAAAGGATTAAAGGAAACCGAACCCCAAGTAATAACTTTACTTATTATGAGAGATTTATTATGTTATTACCCATACATCTACAAGATTCCCCACCAAAGTGTATGAGAGAGGTATAAAGCAAAAATAAAGTACAGTTTCTCAGCACGACATGGGCATCGCCATTTTCTTGATAATGTGACGTACTATGCGAAGTCGTTTATCAAGTAAATGTATTCAAATTTATGGATGCTTCTTTCCCAGACGTGTGGTGATGAAGCATTTCATTCACCTGCTATTTTCCTTTGTACTATAATTGCCAGAACGCAAATTGCATAAATTAGTTAGTGCTCTTCTGGGTTGAAGGTTTCTCATAAATGAAATATATTTGTCAACTGCTATAGTGTAGAATTTATAAATGAATTTGTTACAATTGGGCCCCTGTTATTTATTTTTCACCTAATATAATTTCTATCATCTCAGTTGTTATTTTTTTTCATTGAAAAGTAAAGGTTTCGTTATTGATTTAAAAATTCTTTCCAACTAAAGCTTGGTGCATGATACATGTACAACTTCAACAGATACGTCACATGTTTAAGAAAATGGCTGCGCCCATGTCATGCTGACAGGCATCACATCATGCCAGGAATATCTTCATTTATATATATCTTGTACATTTTCGTAAGGAATATTGTACATCAAAGGGCAGGAATACATCTCATTTTTCAGAATACCTACACTTATTCTTTGGGTTTAGGTTTCCTTTAAGAGTCGAGAACGGTACAACGAGTTGTCTCCTTTCTCTAATAATTTAATGAAACGTCAAAGCTTCCGCGCTTCGAGAGGGGGGGGGGACTGAATTCAGATAAGGATTAAGAGTCGAGAACGGTACAACGAATCGTCTTCTTTCTCTAATAATTTATGAAACGTCAAAGCTTCCGCGCTTTGCGCGGGAGTGGGGGAAACTGAATTCAGACAAGGATGTAGAGTCGTTTGAAAATGGTACAACGAATCGTCTTCTTTCATTAATAATCTAATGAAACGTCAGAGCTTCCGCGCTACGCGCGGAGGAAGGGGAACTTGTTTAAAACAAGGATTAAGAGTCAAGGACGGTACAACGAATCGCCTTCTTTCTCTAATGAAACGTCAAAAGAAACTGAATTTAGATAAGGATTAAGAGTCGAGAACGGTCTTACGAATCGTCTTCTTTCTCTAATAATGCAATGAAACGTCAAAGGAACCCCCCCCCTCCCTGCACCCACCCCCTCTTTGTAATGTCTGTCCGTTTCAAATGATGATAATAAGACAAGGCTTTTGAAACGCATGAGGTATAATTTTAGAGAGTTTTCAGAGTGAAGAAATCAACTCTCAACTTACCTGGGTAGTCTTTTCTCGACTAGCTTTCGTGCTCTTCGGGACGTCGGTGAAAAAGACAAGCAGTTCTTTGGGGTCGACACGGAGCTCGTTGTAGAAGGTGTGATGCCAGATCGTCTCCATATCCTCCCAGTTAGTGACGATTCCGCGTTCGATGGGGTATTTGATGCTGAGAAGACCTCGCTTTCTCTGGGCCTCGTCGCCGACAAAATGATCACGCGTGATCATGGAGGTAGGGATCATTTTCTAGAGAGAGAGAGAGAGAGAATTAACAAAAACAATAACACGATCGCAAAGACTTTCAAGAAATCAACTTAATGTTACTGTCACAACCCAGTTACATTGCCTATAGGTATAATGTTCCGAGTACGTATAGGCCTGGCTTCTTTGTATGTTTGCCGTGCTCAATGATTTCATTAGGTTACGAACAAGAATATTTGAAGTTGCGCATGCTTTAGGTTGATTTTTAAGTATTGGCCATCGGGTTAAGTAATATGTACTTCATTGATTCTTTTTTTGTGTGTGTGTTTGAAAAACAATGGTCAGGAATCTTTTGTTTTGCGACATTCGATGAATTCTCGGCGAAATTTCGTTTTAAAGATTTGAAAAATGAAGGAAAAAATAAAAAAGGTCAGGGGCATTGCCGGAGGGGTGTGAATCCTCTAACATAAACTACCAGTATTGACTCATTTTTTATTAGGGGTTGAGGATCATTTCTTTTGGGAGGGTTTGTCGGATAATTCTCACCTGTTTTTTAAATAATTCTTTCATTCAATGACATGTAGTTAGTTAATTTTCTTAATTGAAGGGCGAACTGCTCGAACACCCTTTCCACCTTTGTTCTCACATACCTTATAAGTTGGACGGCCATGCAATCATTGATGTGCAGATTTGTCTTTCACGGTCTCAAATAAAAACCCTGAGAATTGTTGGAAAATTCTCACCTTTCTTTTTTAAAGGTGACGGGAGGAGGGCAGGTGCGTAGCCACGGGGGGGGGGGGGGGGGGGGGGGGGGCACGTGCCCCTCTAAAATTTCCAAGATCGATTGAACTTTTGTATACCCTTTTTTTACCTCGATCGATTACATGTATGTGCCCCCCCCAAACATCGAACTCTGGCTACGTGCCTGGAGGAGGAGGGGGGGGGGGGGGGGGTAATTGATGTGGTCGGATAAATGTACAAAAAATCTTTGAGGAAATGAATATAGTCCATGAGGTTTTAATTGCAAATTTAAGATTATTTACTTTGCAGCAATTTCCTCACTTAATTGAAAAAGTCAAGCATAATTCTTTTTTCGTGGTGTAAAATTTGTCAGAGGGGGAGGGGGAACTGAGTTTGTCCCCTCGCCCCTTGAAATAGGCAAGTGGTTTACCTGGTACTTTGGGCGTCCAATCATCGACGGGAACACACATCGTGGTGCATCGTCGCCTGCGAAGCCTGCTTTGATCGACCCCGAGCCGTTGTCGACCACCACCACAGCGGCGTCTTCCTCATCAGACTCGGACATATCATCATAAAAAGATCATATTCTTCTCTGTGTGACCTCCTATTTGTGTACAGGACGTGTTGAAATATAATTATAACGACTGAAATTAACTAATTGATTACAAGGTTCTACGAGAATTAAGGCGGTAATAAAGGGAGAGTCTGGAATCTTTTGCTTTTACCGTTCAACTGAACAAAAAGTTCTTTTATTAACTATCCGAAACTAGCACAAGACTCAAAAGTATATGAGTACAAAACAATGATAAATATAGTACGATCAAAGAAAACCAACACAGCATTGCCTACTCTGCATCTGTATGGTCCTAAACAAAAATAAAACAAAGTCATGAGCATAAAAGAAACAACAGTCATAAACAAAGCAGACTCTAGCAATCGTTAACATACAGTATATCCTACAGGTATCGACTATCATGCTATCTGTATTCGCAATCAAACTATGAGGGGGTTTTATACAAGTCAAAGTACCAGCAATGCATGCCTATTTATTTACACAAACAACAAACTGGATAAGAATACAAATGTATACTATTACTGGTCATCTTGATATGAGAATAAATGTGACCTATACGATACATTTCTTACATTTAAGATACCACCGCTACCGCCAACATAATATATAACAAATATCTTATGGAGAGAGTCAAACAAAAATGTGTGATATGTAACCAAATTCTACATACAACCAAAGAAAAATGACTAATCACCTTGAATATGGAACTGCAACAGTCAGGGTCCTGTTTTCGAAGCTTACAAAGTAGGCGTTAAACTAGTAGATTCATCACCTATGAACATAACCCAAACAAGAGCATGTACCATCATAATGATTCGGATGGATTGACAAATCATACAAGAATACAAAATAAAAATACACAAGATATATCAATAAACTCAAATGACTTCTACAATACATATTCATGAGAGACGCTCAACCCCTGATAGCAGACTGACGTCTTAAAGACGTCATAAATTGGTCGTAAAGTGGTAAACACGTCGTACGTCGTATGGACGACGTAATTACGACGTCATTATGACGTCTTTATAAGACTATTTTTTCCAAGATAATTTTTGTCGTATTAACGACGTCATAAAGACGTCATTTTGACGTCTTTAAAAGACTATTTTTCCAAGCTAATTTTTGTCATATTGACGACGTGACAATGACGTCATTATGACGTCTTTAAAAGACTATTTTTTCCAAGATAATTTTTGTCGTATTAACGACGTCATAAAGACGTCATTTTCTCGTCTTTAAAAGACTTTTTTTCCAAGCTTATTTTTGTCGTATTGACGACGTGATAACGACGTCATTATGACGTCTTTAAAAGACTATTTTTTCAATGTAATGTTGTCGTATTGACGACGTGATAACGACGTCATTATGACGTCTTTAAAATACTATTTTTCCAAGCTAATTTTTGTCGTATCGACGACGTCATTATGACGTCTTTAAAAGACTAATTTTTTCAATGTAATGTCGTCGTATTGACGACGTGATAACGACGTCATTATGACGTCTTTAAAATACTATTTTTTCCAAGCTAATTTTTGTCGTATCGACGACGTCATTATGACGTCTTTAAAAGACTATTTTTTCCAATGTAATGTTGTCGTATTGACGACGTGATAACGACGTCATTATGACGTTTCTAAAATACTAATTTTTCCAAGCTAATTTTTGTCGTATCGACGACGTCATTTTGACGTCTTTAAAAGACTATTTTGTTTCCAATGTAATGTTGTCGTATTGACGACGTGATAACGACGTCATCATGACGTATTTAAAATACTATTTTTTCCAAGCTATTTGTTGTCGTATTGACGACGTCATTACGACGTCATTATGACTTCTTTTAAAGACTATTTATTCCAAGATAATTGTTGTCGTATCGACGACGTCATTACGACGTCTTTAAAAGACTATTTTTTCCAATATATTTTTGTCGTATTGACAATGTCATTACGACGTCATTATGACCTCTTTTAAAGACTATTTTTCCAAGATATTTATTGTCGTAAGGACGACGTTATAACGACGTCATTGTGACGTCTCTAATAACTTTTTTTTTCAAGATAATAATTGGGTTAAGACTACAACATCTAATATGAGCATAAGTCAAAGTAAATAGGGCAATTATCAGAATTAAAAATAGGGAACAACCCCCCCCCCCCCCCTCAAATGTCATTAGTCATTAATAGTGGACCAATTTCACACCAAAGTCTGCAATATCGATCAAGACTATACATGCTCGCATCTAGTTTGCTATTTCAAACGGGAATGTGTACGTACGTGTGTGTACAGGTACATTCAGCACTCAAGGCAATGCGTAGGACTACAATGCATTGCATTGCACGATGTGTATGTAATGTATTTGAATTCAGAGTGAAAAAGCCGTTGCAAGAAGTATCCTCCTCCTGAATACTCCAGTTTTCTCCTGCAAATTTACAGTATGGGTAAGTCCTAGAATTACCTAATTTATTTACGAAAAGTACATAAATCTATAGTTACTGTTTTTTATTCTGAAAAGTTGATATGTAGACTCTTTGTTACTGTAATGCATGATCTTATGTCAGTGATAGTGAGCTCGGACTTTCAACTTTTGCTGACTAGATTCGAAATGTATGATCCCATATATGTATTTTTATGTAGGGTTTTGATTGATGGGATGCATGGCATGGGGCATCATTTAAAGCAAAAAAGTTTACTCATTTGCCTACACATGGGCTGCATGGCTTTAAAGGGAAATCTAACTCGAATATAGTATTATACAACTGCTCTAAAACTGAAAGAAAGCAGAAAAATAAGAGAAGCAAACTGATGAAAGTTTTGGCACTAGGTAGGTCTAGATCTACTGCTAAGTCACACTAAGATGGATAATACGTGCAGTCACTCCTTTATTCCAAGCAATACTGTAGATCTACTACTAGTTCAGAATCATATCCAGACTTTTTGACCAGTGACCCATGGCGTGGCCGGTGAGAGTCCTAAAAATCTTAAACATAGGTCTAGATCGGCCTACCCCAAATCAAGCAAATATTCATGAAATGTTCAAATAATGCCAGTCATGATTTAAAAGTCGTTATGTTTCTAACCTGTTTCTGGTCAATTTTTCTTATTTTGGGGGGAGTATTTTTCGGGAAAAACGTTGATTGTAGAATACACTTTCTGACAGGTTGCACGGCAAACCGCTGCACAATACAAGTGCATACAGATGGAGGGTTGCGGGGGCACGTAAGTCTGCGTGAAGTGATCTACCTCCTCATTGTACGGTAGATAACTTCACACAGGCGTGCACCCGCCCGCAACCACCATCGGTATGCACTTGTAATGTGCAGCGGTTTACAGTGAAACCTGTGAGAAAGTGTACTATAGTACCGGCCCAGGCCCAGATGTTTGAAAATTGAACATTGCGTGTCGATACGTAGAGGAATAAAGCAGTGACTTGTGTCACAAACATGTAACCTTAAACAATTTGTTTCTACAGTCTTTAGACAGCAAATTTAGCTTATAGGCTACCGTATACAGAAATCTTATCTGGAAATAGTCGGTTAGACCTGTAAATGGTAACCAAAATTCTTTCCCCACAGGCTGTTCAAAGAAGCTTGTAGTATTTGTGTTGCACATGCATACATTATCAACCTTTCATTTTGTTTTAACTTTATTCATTTTCTCATTTATTTGTAGGCATCTTTTTTTAACATCTTTCGTCAAAGAAGTGGATTCAAAGCACATTGTGGCCTCAGTATATTGATGTGAAACCATGCAGAAAATGCTACTTTCTCTCAACCTTGTGGATGTTCCCTACTTCCCTAAGGATCAGCAGCCTCTTGAAACAGGTGAAGCCATTATCGGTAAATGTGTACATGTACTTGTATTATTTCTGTACATTTATTTGTCATATTGTGCATGATCACTGAGACACTGACGAATTAGACACTACATAATGGTTCATTTCATTTGAAAGGCTTATTTCAGTTATTTGTCCTAAGTTTCAAATATATTTATAATTCAATTAATTTTAGATCACTAAAACCTGCAGGTATGTTGCAATAACCGACAATATTATGTGAGTTTCAAACAGTGTTTTTTTACCCTTCAGCATAGGTCAAGGAGCTTTCATTCTACCCTCATCAGCAAACTACAGGAATGCCAGTTTTCAGGCAATAGCCTGAATTCAGGCCCTGAGGAGTTATTTTCATACCATAGTTTAGGTTTTTTGTGTACAAGCTAGCTCATTCTAGGTGATTTTTCAGGTCCTCTGATCAATTCTAACTGGCATCCCTGAAACTAGAATTGTATTGATAATTAACCAAACAAAATCCCGAATCACGTTTTGCATTGCCCACAAATGTTTAAAACCCAAAGGTGTGTTGACTTTATGTTTGTGAGCAATAAGAAATTATTTCTGATAAATCTTACCAAGCAGTACTTTTCTGACAGAATTAATTATTTACGTTCCAGTTTTAAAATATATGAAAGTTTTTCTTAAATTGTATTCCTTTCTTTTTGCTTTATTCATGCATTAGAATTCCTTGCGTCTATGTTCCTTGGATCTGAAAACAGTGCATAATGCAGGAGATTCCACCCAAAAGCTAACCCACAAGTCCAAGCTGAAGTGGAATATTTCGCAAAATTTGATCTACACTCACCCGATAGCTTTACTGCTAGAGAAAGGTTATTTTTTCACTTCATTATACTTTATAGAGAGAGATTGGGGGAGGGGGAGGGGGAGGGGGAGGGGTGAGGTGTAGCCACAAACCTGAATGGATAAGCTGTAGAACTGAAATTTCCAGTCATGTTACTTGCAATTTTAATGAATTACAGGATTTACGAACTGACATAATAACGATTTGGGTAAAAGTCTAAAAGATTCCAGTATTTTGAGGATATTTGTAATTACTATTCATAAAGTTGACCTGTTTCATAATGTCTCATGCTCACCCCCCTCCCCCCACCCCATCCACTTCATATCAGTTCTTAAAACATGTTGCAAATTATATATACATTGTAAGTTGGTAATAGAGAAA